ACCCCACAGGAGGCACATTACTTCCGTCAAAAAATACTGCACAGTTTTTTAACAGATTTCATAATTATTTGTAAAGTAATTTTTTTTTAGAGTACTGTATATTCTACATCGGACCATCATCAGCAGGGTTTCACACTAAATCGCACCTATCTTCCAAAACCTTCACAACTATAAAATAAATATGTCAAAACGTACTAGGCCTCATTGGCGCAGATGGCAGCGCGTCAGTCTCAAAATCTGAAGGTTGTGGGTTCAAACCCCACGGTAGGCATGTTTCTTTCGTCGAAATTATTGCCTCAGTATTTTTTTTACAGATTCATAACTATTTAAAGAGATTTTTTAGAGTAAATCTATGGCATCACACTTATCTTTCACAAGGCAACTTTTCTTTTAGCTTGTTGCCTTTTGAACAGGAAACCTAGTAGTTTTCGCAGCGTTGGAGCTGTTGATTGTGAGCAAATCAAGCAAAGGTCTTTCTGTACCAGCAGTAAGCACAGCGGAATGGGTCTCTCTGCAGAACACATCAGTGTTAGTATTCGTAAGGATCTGTAACCAATCCACAAGGTGTATTACGCCTCGCCGCTAGTAATAAATCTTACTCGCATGTATTTTTGACGGGAAAATCAATACTTTGGATAGCATCGAGGTCTGGTTCCGCAATAAGCGTCGTGTAAGATAAAAAAAAATACAACCGCGCAACTCAAACTCGAATTTGCTCAAGTGTTATGGCATGTCCACCCGTATTAGATTTTCTAGAACGGTTTGCGGACTGAACTAGCCGATGGCATTTGTACTCGCGAGATGAAGAGCCGGCCGTGAAAGACATGGTACTCCTACAAGCATCAGCTGTTTTCAAAAATTAAATAATAAGTCCGTGCTATTGTGTACACGGTAAACGATGCGTCTCGACTACGTCTATCCATGATGTATTTAAATTATAAGGTTTCATTTAAATATTTCATGTGGTACATGTAAAGTGACACCTTAAAGGGATTTTGTCTGGTTGACGAATAAAGATCTCTCAACAGTTCAATGTGGCATGTGTGATGTACATTTGTGGGCCTTGAATGAGCTCAATGACTTCCAAAGTCAGATCACATTATGTATTTCCATGTTCTAAAATGCATAAGCGGTCTCGATTTCTTCCGTGAGGCATCGGGTTTGGAGAGTTCCCAGGTACGTGTACGCAAAGCGTAGTGTCGCTGTTGCTTGAAAGTACGAGGCCTATCTTGCGAGCCTCACAGGTTGGCAAGGAGCTCGATCGTCCCTCAGGACTCGTCAAGGCCGATCCATGAAGCCTAATTGCTACTTCAGCCTCTTGTCTACGGTTTTGTGTTGTGGGTTTACCAAAGCGAGTCCGCTCATCAGATAGGCCTATGCAATGTATCCATCTTCCACTAATTGGGAAAAGAAATGAAAACGACAGTTTGGTGCGACACCAACCCGCCGGATTGATGTCAACGATGGTCGGCTACCCCCCTCCCACATTCCACAGGGAAATGAATGATGTTGACTATCGATGAGGCTCCAAACAGTCGAGAGGGTGAAAATTCATTACCACCGATTGCCCCCATTCCCCCCTCCTCCAGATCCTGGGGATTCTCTTCGAAAGCCAACCGAGGCAAAGAGTTCGCTCCGCTTTCAATCCTGTTTCCGTCGACTTCTGTAGGTGCCTCGTGTAATGTGTTAGACCAGCACACAAAATCTTTCGCGGACGTTAAAAAATGTCGAGGCGCTCCGTTTAATTAAAAAGAAAAGGCATTTTATTGCGACCTCTGTTTTATTTAATAGATATACAGGGTGGCCTTATCAGTTGAAAATTGCTTTTCTTCAGGAGTCTGACTAAAATTGCCCGCAATGCCCGGTAATAAGCATTATTTAAGAATACCGTCATTAACACTACAATAATGAAAATACATTCACGTGGCAATCGGATATATGACACAAGTTTGTCGCTAGAGGGGGTGTACGGGGTATATACACGACCCGAGTTACTACTACTAAAAGTCCTTTATATTCCTGTCTCTAAACGGTGCAGATATCAAACAGAAGGGTGGAGGGTATAACAATGAATTAAACAATACAGTTAAAATACGTAAGAACCGCGAGCTGAACTAAAGAGGGCGCAAGTTTCCTAGCAAGAGCGGCTCTTTTGGTCGAAGTGCGCACTTCACTGGTTAGCAAACGACTGTGAAATGCACGCGTCTCGGGCACGTAACATCACATCAATCTTTTCACGTAAGAAGAGACAATGAAACGCAGTAAAAGCACAAAAAACTCGCTTTCCCCTGAAAACAAACCAACATTTGGGTTGTTTCTGCCTAGACGTTTTCCCCAAACTGGCGCTAGTCTGCACGCGCCAGTCACTCCTTATGACCTTCAAAAGCTTTCACTCTTACATTTTTAAACTCCAGAGCTACAAATGCCGCTGGATTGTGGCTCTTCTTTGGTGTGGATCCGACGATGCAAAGTGATGACCTTTTTATAGGCGGATGATTTACCGCAGATGTCGCAAGAGAACGGTTTCTCTCCCGTGTGGATTCGGCGGTGCCTTACCAGGCAGATATTATACTTGAAAGACCGTTCGCAGTAGTCACAGGTGAATGGCCTCTCATCCGTGTGGGTTATCATGTGAGCCTTCAGGCTTCTCCGCTCCACAAAAGATTTGCCACAGACACCGCAGGCGTACGGTTTGTCGTTGGAGTGGAACCGTAGGTGCCGTGTCAGGTCGCTTTTGATCTTGAACGACCTCGGGCAGTGGTCGCATGTGAACGGCCTGGCCTCGCTGTGGGTTGTCGCGTGCCTGTTGAGGCATGAGCCGCTGGAGAAAGCCCTGCCGCAGATACCGCAGATGTACGGTTTCTCGTTGGTGTGGGTTCTTTCGTGCAGCACCAGGTAAGCCTTAACTGTGAAGGACTGTTGGCAGTGTTCGCACGTGTACGGCTTCTCGCCAGTGTGAGTCATAAGGTGTCGTTTGAGTCTCCAGCTGAACGGAAAGGATTCGCCGCAGACGCTGCACGTGTACGGTCGCTCGTTAGTGTGGGCCTGTCTGTAGTGTTGCTTGAAACCACATCTAGTTTTGAACGAGCGTTGACACTCATCACACGCGTACGGCTTCTCGTCCGAGTGGGTCTTTCTGTGACACCGAAGGTGACCCTGTTGTGTGAAGGCCTTCCCGCATTCACCACAACTGTAGGGTTTCTCTCCCGTATGGACCCTTTTGTGAATCGTCAGATCGATCTTGAACTTGTACGACTTTTGACAGAGGTCGCACTTGAACGGCTTGTAATCGCTGTGGGTAACCTTATGATTCTTAAGGTAGGTACCGTTGGAGAAGGCCTTGCCGCATACGTCGCACGCATATGGTCTTTCTCCGGAATGGACTCTAAGGTGCGTCTTCAGACCGGACCTGCTTTTGAAGGATTGTGGACAGAGGTCGCACGTGAACGGCCTGTGGTCAGAGTGGGACCGCATGTGTTGCGTAAGGGTCACATTGTGCGCAAAGGCCTTGCCGCAGATGTCGCAGGAGTATGGCTTCTCTCCGGTGTGGGAAACCAGATGTATCTTCAGGCTGCTGGGGTACTTGAAGGATCGGGGACAGAGGTTGCAGGCGTAGGGCCTGTTGTCCGAGTGGGTCTTCAGATGTGTCTTGAGGTAACTGCCCGTCGTGAAGGACTTGCCGCAGACCTCGCAGGCGTGCGGCCTGTCGTTGGTGTGGATCCGTCTGTGTTGCTTCAGCCGGCCTTTCGTGCTGAAATCCTTGTCGCAAAAATCGCAGACGAACCACTTTTCCCGGGTGTGGATGTACATGTGCTTTGCCAGAGTCTGTTTACTCGCCAAGTACTTGCCGACAAACATCGCAGTGGAAGTGTCGGTCCTTTCTCGTCGTGGCTGCAACACTTTCTTCTGATGTTATTCCCGGTGCTTCCGCCATTTCATCCATTTTCCAGCTTCCTGTCTGAGGAAAAGAGACCACGAAAGAACACGTGGACATTGTTTCTTTTATTCCAAACTTCGCCCAAGCAATAGAATGTCTTAAGGCCTGACGATTTACCATGGTTTATGTACATGCAACGACACACAAGATTCGCACAATTGAGGGTCTTGGGGTTTGATGTACACCTTTCATGCATGACCTCTGCACTGTCTCCAGGCCTACGGTCGACGTGAGCACAAAATCACGGAACACTTTGCTTAAGAGAAAACGACACCTGGCGTCCTCTGCCCGTCGCCTTCAGCATTCAAGCACACCTGCCAACCTATTGTACCCCTTCCCAAGGTCAGGCATCGTCACAATCATCATAGATTAGAATTTGAAATGAACCGCGAGGGCTCATTTAAATACCTTTTAATCTCTTGTGTGGTAATGCCTGACCTGAGGAAAGAGTACGACAGGTTGGCAGGTCTGCAGCTTTTCTCAGAGCAGTTGCTTATTTTGAAAACTCGTTCTCCAAAAGGATGATATGTAACCCTGTGAGATTATGCTGGTGTACTTTCGAGCTCAAAAGTGTTAAAGGCACGCTGCACCTAATGATACAAATACAGCGTGAATATCAGTGCAGCCTTATGTATAACTATACATCTATATGTACAGTAAATGAGTTTATGTTCTCTGCTGTTTGTAGCTAGGTACCTCCAATTACTAAAACAAGTAAAGCATTCTGGGGGAGGGGGTCGTGCACAGTAGTCGGCAAGGATCTTCTTGTAGTTCCAAAGTATGCTCAGGCCACCTGTTGCCTCGTTATCTGGTCGGACTGAGCTATATCGCTACCGTCCATCATGGTCAAACTTACCACAGGTGAATCGTCAAAATCTATCTCGAACCTGCCCCAACTAGCCCGATCTTTGAAAAGCAGTCCAACTCGGGATTCCCCGTCAAATTCTTGCTTGTTGGCCTCAGACACGTTGTCAACTGAGCGCGGGGGCTGGTGATTTGACGGCTAGAAAGTGTCTGTTTCTCACCCAGTTAGCTGCGCTCAGCTGTGTCAGACATACATCTACACATGCATGAATGGCCTATATAAAAGTGCACGCGTTACTGGCTGGGAGTCGAGTCCGTTTGCAACTGTGTTGTTACACAAACGCCGTGTACTGCACATGTGAATAAGCGGGCAAGCTGAGCTCGATGCGAGGGGAACAAAGGAGGACAAACGGATCAATAGAGGGGTCGGACGGTCATGTAGGCTATAGACCCTTTCCACCCACGTACTGGATTGCACTAAATGTAAACAATACCACCACGCGTAGACCGCCTCGGCCGCGGTGATCGCGTACATTCCTACGGGCAGCTCCGATAATGTGCAAGCACACGTACGAACACGGCACGCTTGACTAGTTTGTTTTGAATAAAGTGAATTACCATCACAACACCATTCACTCATTAGCATCACAACACCGTCATTGCGGTCCAGCAGGATTGTGACAAAACAGAAAAGCGTCTATACTACACGAAAGACCACAAAATCAGAGCGCTTGTAACTTCCTCTAATCACTCTGTTTTCCTTCCTCCATGCTCTAATTAATTAGCAAAGACCAGACCATGGAGCTGTGACCACTCGAACATGTCACGTCCACATGTCTTCTGCTCACTGGCAGGGCAGTTCTGATCACGAGAACTTCAAAGGGCCCGATCCCCTGTGACTCCGAGGTTTATACAGCATTGAACAGCAATAAACAGCCAATCAACAATTTCCTTAATTAATTTCAATGGCTCCCTCGCAGTGCTATGCAATGAACTCGAGCTGGACCTTGAGAGGGCGCTATTTTTTATAGCGTAGCAGGTTCCTTGGATCATTTCGCTGGTTTATGCAGCAAGGTCGAGACGGAGAGAACCCCCCCTGCTTTGTGCTGGTCATTGTCTCGCAGGAATCTGGGGAATTTCTTTCAGACATCTTGGGGGGATGTGTTAAGTAACAATAGTCTGTAATGTGTATAGGGATTGGACATGTTGGGGGGGGTACCCCTCGGTCTCATTTGTAGCTGCAATCAGTTTAGGGGAATACGAACATTCAAATCGCACCTTCTTATATCGGTTAACCTTATTTCAACCGCCTGTTAGAGTTGTATGCTGATGAGAATTTCAATATTCATCAGCAATGGGGGGGGGGAGTGGAGTCAATCCATTATAGAGTTTATTCCGAACATAGCCACAACTTTTTTTCGCTGGGGAGAAGGATGGATCCACAAACAATTTGTAAGTCATTTTCTGGGGAGGGAGGGGGAATTGGGGGTTTCTTTATTCTTTTACTCTTTCTGGGGATGAGGGTAAATCAGGGAATTTTTTTTATTCTACACACGAGTAGCTCAGGGGTTTCCTGTTTTTTAAATCTAAGCAACCGCTCTTCTGGGGGCAGCATCACTGGACAACAGAATCACAGTCGACTCTCGTTATAAAGAACACCGTCATACCAAAATGCTGTTATAAAGAACAGATTTCAAGGATCCCAATTTCTTGAATTCTTATCTTTTTCTTTGTTTTGCTAATCCTTTCAGAACAAAAGTCCTGATTAAATACAAAGTAACTTGTCCGGTCCCTGCAACTTTGTTGTAACAAGAGTCGACTGTAAACTACATGAACTCAAAAAAAGGTAAGGGCCACTTTGTTTTCTCCCCTTGTAATTTCAGGATGTAAAGTGATGCAAGAGACACTATGCAACAATTGAAACCAACCGCATGTGAAATTGATTACAGTGTGTTTGAAGACATTTAGGACAGTTGTACTGGGGTATTTTCAGCAGTAACATAAGCATATCTCATAGAAAAAAGTAAACACACTCAAAAAGGGTCCTTCACTTTTTGAGTGGTTTTATTATGTGCTGGAGTAGGGACCACGGAAGTCATCCCGGAAAACAAAACACTCTCTGATCATTTTTTTTTCCCGACACTCCACGGTGTTTTTAATGTTGGCTCTATTCACTTTTTTATTTCACAAACTGTCTCGCTGGCCCAAAAGGATAATTTTCTGTAGTCAAAGGTACCGCTCATTTCTTTTGCAAATAACAAGCAACCTTTAAGTCGTAGAAGCACAAAGACAGGCTTCCTGCTAAAATCCCCAAAAAACCATCCGTAATTTTATCCTGGAACCGGTGCACAAGTGTGACGATATCTTCCCAGCCGTTCACTCCTCGTGAAGCTTTAACGGTAGCGCTTGAGGGAGAGGGTGTTGCGTCGCTTCCAAGCGGCGCGGCGCGACCCGCCGATCGTCTGCTTGTACAGATGACCCTTGCCCAGACCGCGGCTTTTCTTACCTGGAAGGAAACGGAAAATACGTCCTTGGTGTCATCTGTTCGTTCAAAATCAAATTGGCAAATCTGCATTCCAAACAGTTTATCTAAGGGGCAAATACACCGGATCAACACACACTGAGCATGCCTCCTTGAGTGACCATTACACATGTTCATCAACACAAACTGAGCATGCCTCCTGAGTGACCATAACACCTGTTTATGAACACAAAGTGAGCATGCCTCCTAGAGTGACCATTACACCTGTTCATCAAAACAGACTGAGCATGCCTCCTTG